AATGAGAAACAGAAGATGTAGCAAATAGCAGAGCATGAGGATATCAGAATATTATTTATAATTTGACTACCAAAAGTGATCTGGTGCATTAATAGATTAGCAAAGTGCAATTTGCTATGGAAAGAAGAATAGTTTTCCAAATGCTATCAAAATTCCTCATCTCAGGAAAACGTAGATTGCCTGAGATGTTTCAAGCGACTCGATGGCAGAGGGCCAATATCTAAAGCACGTTTTAAAACAAGTGCCAGGAGTGCATTGGTGTGCGTGATTCACTTTTTATGAGAGCGGCTTTATGGGATTCATTAGGATGAATATCTGTTGGACTGGAGGGTGTCAGAAGACCTCAGCTGTTCGCAGTGCCATATAAATCATGTCAGGAAGAGGGGCTAAATGTAGATGGATCCCCACTGCTGGTGTTGAGGGCTGTGTATGCAGAAGATGCACCATCTCCAGCACCGCTGAAGGGTTCATACAGACGATGCAAGGGCAAAGCCAAAGCTCCATCATAAACTTGCCCAGGGTCTGCAGGGCTGCACCGTCGGCTGCTCCCAGCTCTTCTTAGCACCCTCTTCATGGTAAGGCTTGTGGTTATCACTGCATCTGGGTACTACAGCGAAGACCAAGAATTCCTCCGAATTTCAGAAAAAGCAGCTTTAGGAGGGTCCCAACCACCCACAACACGTTTCTCTTTTCTCAAGGAGTCTGCAGCTTGAGAACTCTTCTTGTTGCAGGCGTGCTCACCATGAGCATGCCTTGAAACGCCTTCCCAAGGCTGCACAGGGCTGAGCGGTGCACTCAACTCCGTGCAGTGATCAGGCAATTTTCTGTGCATCGAGATGGCTTTTTTCTGCAGCTGTGCTTCAGAAAGCTGGGGGAACCTTCTTATCTCTGTGCATACCACAGAGACAAGCTGGATGACCTGTAAGCTCTGGCTGAGCAGCGAAGACTGTGGGGGTCCGGGCTTTGTTGCTGTCCCTCTTACTATTTTCTTTTACAGAACAAGTTTATTTTAAAAAATCAGCACTAGTTTTCTGTTGTGTTTTGTTTTGTTTCCCAAATCTTGGCCAGTGATATTGGAGCATTGGAAGGGGCTGCCCAGGGCAGTGGTGGAGTTGCCATACCTGGAGGGGTTCAAAAAACGTGTGGATGTGGCACTCTGGGACGTGGTTTATTGGCCATGGTGGGGTTGGGTTGATGGTTGAACTTCATGATCTTAGAGGGCTTTTCCAACCTTAACGATGCTGTGATCTTTCTACCTGACCTTTTGCTAATGCTTACTGATGTAACCTATTCAGAAGTCCTGCCTAGGTAGTAGTCCCAAACTGTAGTCTGGTCCTAGGCAGTGGTTAATCAAGGTGCTGACATACACAGATACTTAGCGTAAGGCTGGTTGTCATGAATCCTGTATACAAATTGTACAGTAATTTGCCTTA